CAGTGAATTCACCTCTCCTGATACAAGGGATTTATCCCGAGTATTGGTATAAGCAAGATGAAACTGTGGGTCCCAGGCATCCAGCTTAGGTCACTTGAACCATCCCACTAGCCCCTTGCTGTCTTTAAATATGGCTATGCCATCCATGCATGAAGGGACAGGTTAGATGTTCCTCTGGCCCAAGAGCCTCCGGGATCCACTCAGCAGGGCACACCCTCCCCCATTCCTGCCTCCAGGGACGGTCTCCCTTGCTCTTTCCTTTGGCTTAGGAGCGGTTCCTATACCAATGCCATCTCAATCGAGACAAAGCATTAGCTGCTCTCTCCAGGTACTCAACATGGAAAAGGCAAGGTTAGACAATAGACAGAAAGCCGGGGGAAGGAAAATGGAAGGAAAGAAAGGATGGATGGAAGAGAGACAGACTTCCAGCAGCTCCCTGAAGAGAAACAGGTGGACCCTTCTGTCAATCAGCACCCAGAAGACCAGAGTGCATCCCTTGTAAAGTCCCCCATGCCTGGCTCCTTCTCACAGTGGTTCTCATTTTTCTTTCTGGATTTCTAAATCCACCATAGGCCACCTCTGTTATTTTGCAGCTTGCCTTGCCTTGCTGGGCTGTCAGGTTGAGCTGTCCTTTTATGCTTCGGCAGCCACCCAAATGAAAAGATAAGTTGCTAGTTTGAGACCCAAAATACCTCAATGCCAACTTGTCAGGCCTCGGGGTGGCAAGCTATCCAGGGCAAGGTATTCTCATTTTTAAATCTTAAATACCGCAAGATTTTTCACCATGGTCTTTTTAATGACTGACTCCTCAAGAAAACTTCCTGAACTGAAGTGAGGCGCTTACTTATAATTGGAGGCAAGTTAACAAGGGGAAGCTGTGATCCAGAGAACAGATGGAAATACTGACAAACAGTGAGACTCTATCGCATGCAGGGCCCCGAGAGGATTAGAATTCAAGCTCTCATTCTTGCTTTGCCTTTAATTTTGGGCAAGCCGTCTAAACACGCCGAACCTCAGCCCCTTCGCCTGTTAAGTTAAATTAGAGTTAAGGTATCTCTCTTAAAGTTAGGGAGATATATCAGTGAGTAAAATGTCTACCTTGCAAGAATCAAGGCCTGAGTTCAACTCCCAGAACCGGCATCAGAAGGCTTGGGTGTAGCGGTACACGTAAGCCCAGTGCTGGGGCTTGACGACCAATTATACTAATCCAAAGTGAGTTCCGGGACAGGAAGAGACACGCGCTCTCTCTAAGAAGCAAAAATAGCGAACGGCACCTGAGGGACAACGTCCAATATTATCCTTTGGTGTGTATACTCCCTCATGCATGTGTGTGAGCATGCACGCACACACACACAGACAGACAGACACACACCTCTTTACCAAGGCTGTTCTAAATTACATAAGAGCAAAGCATGGACTCTGACCCATGCTGGACATTCTTTAAATAGCTGACGAATATATTAACCAATGAATATGCGGAAAACAAATTAAACGTGAAAACTGACAGGGGGCTGATCCAGGTGAGGAGGCGATGTGCCTACCACAAGGAAACCCTAAGTGCTGCGGCGAGGCCCATGTGAAATCCCACCCAGCTTTTCTGGCAGCAACCCCGGACCTCGGCTTTCTCATTTACAGTGGGGAGGGGGCTCTCCTCAGGAAGTTACTGTAAGTCTTAAAGAATGTTAAAAATCCTTCGTGAACTTCGAGAGCTGAGTTAGACTTTCGCTGGTGGGATCTGCCTACCCAGTGGGATTCTGCGAGACGACCACTCCGCAGGGGAGTCATGGGTAGAAAAGGTGCCCCCTGATTCCAAATCTCCCCATGCCAGGGGAAGACAGTTGCTTCTGAAAACAGAACGCCGTATTTTAGTCTAAAACCAGCTTTGTTTCAGTGGGGAGTGTGCACATGTGTGTGTGTGCATGTGTGCATACGTGCACACATGCATGTGCATGGCATAGATCCAGTTCAGTGAGAGCTCTGTCAACATCAGGTCTCTGTGTGGAAACATTTGTAGAGCCAATCTGGAAAGTGCTTTTAGATATTTTTTTTCAAGGCAAAAGATAAACTCATTTAATTTAGAGTCATCAGCTGGATTGCATTAAATGGAGGGAAAAGCAAAGTCGTACACAATGCAGCCATTTGTTAAACACAATTATTTCTCCCATTACTTAATCACAAGCAGACATAAATACACAGAATTCTGACATCCCAGGTCTTCTTGAATTCCCGATCTGTGTTTCAGCATGGAACGAAAGGAGGGTCAGATTCCAATTTGTGTGTTAAGCAAGCCCGAGAGTTATAATTGTATATTGGGACCATAATGGCTTTGCTAAAGCAAGACCTAAACGTTTAATTAACCTGCCAAGACAAATTAGAGCTCACAGTTCACCGGTAACGATCACAGACAGCTGAGACTCAATGCAGGGGACTCTCGGGAAAGAGGGATTAATAGCAGCGTCAGAATCTGTCTGTTTTTGTATTAAAGGATTAAAAAAACAGTGTTCATTAAACAATTGTTGCAGCTTGAAGGGAGGAGGACAGGTCAGAAAGACAGTGAGAAAAAAGCGGAAGGAGAAAGGGGGGAGGGACAGAGCACCCTAACCCCTTCCCTCTACCCTGCAGGCACCAGGCAGGCTTTACTAATCCCTACAACAGGAACTGCAAACAGCCTGAAACACTCTTTTTTTCTGACAGAAAAGGGGAGACCTACCACTGACAATCACAGAAGCAACAGGCAGTCACGAGAGAAAGGAGGACTAGGAATCGGTTTTTGTGGGGTGTTTGGGAGCTTTGCTGATAGGAAGCACATGGGGGCTCCCATCTGCCCACGGGGTCAGAATTTCTAAAGAAAGGACCAGGAATCTGAACCTTTGCCTGGCGATTCCTTAGTCCATTTGAGAAGGACGGTGACCAAACGCCTTGCTGTTCAAAACATGCACAACAACCAGACTCACTGGGTACCGCTGCCCGGCCTGCTGGGGCAGCTTCTGCGTCTTATCCAGACCCCTCGGTATCTAGACCCCTGGGTAGGTCAATGCACTGAAATATAGAAGCATGATTGGCTATTGGCTCTGATATATATGAAGGGGTTAAGAAACGATTTTCATCGTCTAGACAAGAGAGAGGAACCAGGTAAAAAGCAAGACCATGTCTTAATTATAACAGAGCAGGTTCGCAAGCTTTGACAAGCCAAGGGTGGGCGAAGGGGCAATCCCACTATTTCCTTGATGGTTTAAGATACATATCCTAATTAAAAATGGCTTTCTTTATGGATTTAAATGAACAACGTTTCATATTTATACTCAATTATTAACACAGAGATTTGACTGTAAATGCTCCCAGTCCTGTGTAAGCCCAATACCATGTGTCTCCTTGTCAGCTGTGCCTAGGAGGAGTCAGGGTGATGGACCAGAGAGCTCAGACACCATGGGACATGAGAATGATGTCCCTAAGTCAAAGCCACCATATCAAGAAAGAAAACATGTAGTGACCGCTGTCTAGCAGAAGCCAGGAAGTGACAGTTTAGATGTCGATGCAGACAGAGTCCAGCGTCCAACGGCAGGGACTGTGAGCTTCCCTGTTGCCCTCCACGTGATCGACAGTTACTAGGACACAGCTTAGGATCCAGAATCCTCAGAAACCAAGACGGGAAAGGGTAAGAGATCTGTACGATGGTAAAAGTCAAGTTCACGGCAGAGCTTCTAGACTAAGCCTGCTTCCTAACACATCACACGAGAAACGGCGCAGGAGGGAGACCACCAGCATCATTGTAACTGCCAAGACCAGGGCTGCTGAGGGTCCTGGGCAGAGAAACGACCACGCTCCTGCTTAGTCCCTACCGACCAGGAGGCATTGCCCACGGAGACTCCATGTGCATCGTGGAGATAGACTGTTCCTCCAGCCAGGGACAGCACAGAGAGACTTCTCCTTCATCAACCCCATCTCTGCCATCACGGCAAAATGTGAAGGCCGGATGTGTAGCAGCGGCTTTTTAACCGTGCTCCATTAACAGAAAGGCTCACTCTGCCTCAGTACTGAGGGCAAAACTGCAACTCTGAGGGGAACGGGCTGAAAACAACTCTCGCTGATCAGGAGTGAGAAGGGGGGTCTTTGAAGAATGTGGGAGACCTAGCAACAAGCTGAGATATCTTCCTTGTCAGAGAGACGCCCGGCCGACAACCAAGACCTTTCAGGGACATCCTAACGCATTCACTAGACAACAGTCCCTTCCAGGGCTTCCGGTCTGTGTTCTGGCTGAGCTTGCCTTCAAGGATGTTTATATTAAAAGACTGCATCCTAATGCTTCCAACAGAAGCCCAGGAAAATTCTGACGTGGAAAACTCAGACTATCCGTTTGCATTACTGTGGCCACCTAAGGAGGATACAAAAATCTATGAAATGGAACATACCAGCAAAGACGAGAATGTCTTTTTAACAGGGATCTGGGCTACCTACATGCCTGTAGACTGTGGAGGTGGCCAAGGCCCTTTGCTACTACGAGGCACAGGGACGACGGTTCAAAGTCACTCTATGTCAGAGAACGGGCCATCTCTATTCTCGTGGAACCCCAAGAGCAACGGCCGACCGCTTGCCTAGCTGCTCCCTCTGCAGTTGACACTCTCTCTCCCAGCACTTTCCTTCTGGTCTCATCTCTCAGTATTGGTTGATTTCAGAAGTAAAAGACAGACCCCAAACAAGCCAGGCAAATCAGCGAGCTGAACGAGGTGAGGCTTAGGTGGAGGTGGAGGGGAGCTGTGTCCTCTGTGTCTTGCCACCCAGAATTCCTATCTCAACACCAGTTCGGCCTCATGGTTCTTGAGCGGTGCTCCACACACCACCCTTGCCCTGCAAGCCCACTTGGGATGACTTTGTACCACGCTCAGAGCGGTGGCTACAGTTCTGGGCAAGGCATATTCAGTTCCGATACCTTGCCAGCACTAACTCCTGAATCCACAACCTTCCTCTCGTTCAAAGACGCCACGAAGGGTGTATCTGCTTACCAATGGTGGTGGTGAGAAAGGAAACCACTTCAGACTCCTTTCCATCGTTGTAAAAGGCCAGGTGCCAGATCCCCGAATCCAGGTACTGGATGAAACCGGTCTCATGGCTGGCTGGGGGGACAGCACCCCGTGACTGGCGCTGGGGACCCTCCAGGCTCCTTGCCTCCTGGGTTAGGAGCCTTCGTCCATCCAGTAGCTCCACAAAGTCAAACTAAAGAACAAAGAGAGTAATGTTAGCGACAGACTGACACCCCAACTGCCAAGCTTTATGGGGGAAGTCCCCCAGGGAGTCTAGAAGGGGAGAAGGAGTCAGGAAGGGGAGCCGGGAGAGCACTCCCCAGATCTAGAGTCTTCACGGAAATAATCTAAGTCTTTTGTGAGTGTGGTATCACTAATGATTACTGCCTTCTTTTGTTGTCATCTGGGGCTATGCAAGTCCTGACACACACACACACACACACACACACACACACAAAGATGGCTACATTTTCTTCAGTGGCAGGTTCCTCAGTAGAAACCCAGACACTTGACGATCATTGGAGGTTCCTGCAAGTGTGGGTGGTAATCTTAGGGGCTTGGAGGGGGACTGTAACACGTAGTAGGGTTGGGTTAGTCATGAGCTAGGTTGGTTTAGCTCAGACTTCCATCAGTGATTACGTGCTGTGTGAAACGCGAGGGCTGATTGATCCAGGACTGCTGGTCTGAGATTCCAGAGAAGTCCACCACGCAGTATGACCATCCGGCGGGGGGAGGGGGGCTAAGCCCTGCTGCCTCACTAGGAAGCACTCCAAGCAGCTCCCTAGTTAGGTTTAGTATTGGAAGATATTTGTCTCACACAAAGCTGAAGCTGTGAAGTTCAGGACCGCATGGTTGTTCTGTGGTCACCAGGGCCCAGGCTCATCTACTGCTCTGGGATCTGATCATGGATTACAACGCTAAACTAAACCGGACGCTGGAGATAAAATGACTGCCTGTGGCCCTGCAATGCATGACGGATGGTTATGGTTTTGATTATTTGGACGCCAAAGCTAGTGTGTGTTGTGCGTGTGTGTGGAGGTTGCACAGGCCCCTGTTCTCCCTGACTCATGACTCCTCCTCTTCTTATTTCTTTCCTTTCATCCCCTCTTTCTCTCTTTGGATGTCAGAGACTGAATCCAGAGTCCCTCATGCTAAGCGCAAGTTCTATTCCTGAACTATACCCCCAGCCACTTGGCCCTTATCTCTATTTCTGGCACAATCCTGAAGAAGAGAGGGGATGCTAGAGGCAGGGAAGGTACTGTCTGCTTGGAGCCAGGTCCCATGCTAAGCGCTCTATGAATTCTGCAGGGTGGTACTCCCCACTTTAGAGAGGAGGAAATCCTCAAGTAGAGGATGAACCATGAGTCCGCGCTTGCATCACCAATGGCAAGAGGACTCACGCTCAGCGCGGGGCTTCTTCTCTAGGTCACACTGCCTGGGTCCTGTAACTTAGGAGACAGGGCGAGGGCAGAAAGGCAGCTGTGAGGTAGCCTAGAATTCTCTGGAAAAGCTCCCGAGAGTTAATTCACTCTTCCGGAAGGCAAGTGGGACAAACGGATGAGTGCCCTGTTAGATAACATGAAGTTCTCTTCCGGCTTTAGGCCCTGGCTGGGTTTCTGCCCGGGTTAGGATCTGAGCTGGCTCCCATGAGGTCCGTAGGTGTGTGGGGTCCAGTTACCTGAGTATGGGAAGGAGGGAGGCCTTTTCTGCCGTAAATGCCCACTAGAGCTGCCTTCCCCAAGGACACGTTGAACTTGAGGTGAACGGGGTGGTCGATGAACACTTGAGACCTCCAGAACGTCCCAGGCGGAATCTTCTGGGAAGCCCGTCTCCCCACATCGATTTCTCCAGAATCTATGAAGCTGTCCTCTGGAAAGAAACTACTTGGCTTTCCTACCAAGACACAGGGAAGGAAAGACAAAAGCCCTCTGGTTAGCCACACGGGGCAAGGAACCAGCGTCCCCCACATCCAGGACTCTGCTCTGTCTCTTGCCCCGGCAGAGGTCTGTGTCTGGCTCTCTGCCTCCTCCCCCTCCTCTACAGAAGTAAGATAGTCTAGAATATTTTCCCCCAGTGATGCTCAAATTGTTCTGCTAAAAATATTCATTCTTTCAAAGCAGTATGGGTCCCTCCCAAAGGACCATCTGTTTACTGTGTAATGCCACAGCTTGTTAAGATATATTTTGATCCTAAAAATAATCACTGGTGGTCACATGAGAATAGCTTTGTGATTGTGTGTGTGTGACTGTGTGTGTGTAAAAGCTGTATGGCAAGCCAAAAAGGACAGAGGGTATGAGTTGTTGTCATTCAATTTCCAACCCTACAGTGGGAGGCATGATGGGAGTAGAGGGAGGTATTTTATGTGTATGTGGAAATTGGAAGCCACAGCCTAGAGCTACATATGTGAGTTGGGGGGTTGGGTTTGGAACAGGGCTATGAACTGACAAAGATGGAGAAGAAGGTTCTTAAGAAGGCAGGAGACGTCTGAAAGGGCTTTTGTATTTTGGCGTGTGTGTGTGTGTGTTAAAATGGTTAAAGGAATTTATCAAGAATGAAATCTATAGCATATTTAGAGAAATTCAACCCAGCCCTCAGCCCTGTACCACAAGGGGCTGAAGACATTCACCAGTGAGATCCTCTGCTTACTTCTATGGCCAAGCAGCAGTGACTACTTTCTGGGTGCGACAAATCCCAGAAAGGAATGCTACCTCCCCAGTTTCCTCTTCAGAGTAATTAAACACCCTAGATGTGAGTGATCTAAGCCCTAACTTCCTGCCCTCTATGAGTGGGGGTGGAGGGGGCAGGAACATTGGGAAGACCACCCTTAGGATCTTGAAAATCCCAAATCAAGCCAACAGGCTCCACTGTGTTTGTCAGTAGTAACCCTCCCTGGGCATCCTGGTCCTAAGGCTTTCATGTGGTTAGAGATGCTCAAAGACCTTGGGAGACAACAAGAATCATTTGCAAAGGAAACACGTCTGTGGAACGTTTTATGAAAAGCATTCAGAGGGAAGAAATTATCATGTCTCCCCACCCCCAGCTTTGTAAGACTCCTTACAAAGCACATTTGATGCTGAAATGGAGCTTGGCAGGGCATTGTTGCAGCCATAAAATATTTTACTGTTTTAAATAATAAAATTCAATTTAGATGTTAAACTTCTCCATATGTTATCATTCCCTTATAAACTCCTAGGCAGAAACATCAGGTTTTTAACTTCAAACCATTAAATGTTATTTTAATTAAAAATGTGCCAACAAAAAGAAAGTTAAGATGCACGTTCTCTATGAAAGTACCGTGGCTATTCTACCCTTAACACAGGGAAGAGTTCGCGTTTAATTCCTACGGAAGGAGTGCACGCCCTAGACTTTTACCTTGAAAACGAAGACACGCAAACCTCCACATTGTGAGTCATGAAGCTTCAAAGGCAGGAGCCCAATTCACAAAACATTGAGATGGGAGAGAATTATTCACATTCTTCTCCTTCTGATCTGCGGGCTCCCAGGACTGTAACCCTTTTATTGTGCAGGTAGAAAGCGCTACACTCTAAGCTTTAAGTTCTCCCAGGAGGCAGAACTGAGGGGGCGTATGAAAAAAAAGCAGGGTGCATTCCGAACCTTTCCCTCCTAGGAGGGGCTGAGAGAGAAGCAGGAGACCCATAAGCTGAGGGCCAGTTTCCTCTGAGAGTATGGAGGAGTTGGGGCCCAGGGACCTGGGGAGCTGCCTGCACTCTGATGTTCTCATGTCTCAGAATAAATAATGAAAAACTGTTCCTTTGTTTTAGTCAGCTGGGTTCCTTTTCTCCCTAGCAAAGAGGAGAGCATAGCATAGGAGATGGCCTTATGGTTCAGGATGGGTCCAGAGACACCCTCTGAACCTCAGGCTGGATCCTTAGGCAGGGCTCTGCGGTTCTTTCCCCAAAATGACAGAAAGGGGATTTTTCTTTAGTTACACTTTCTAGAAGTGCAAGGATGTGGGCCAGGTGGGAAGGCGATGCTGTCTGCACATTGGACCAACTGGTGGTGTGGACTGCTGGTTGGGAGGAGAGAGTGTACAGCTTTTACCACCTTTAGCTCATGGGAAAGATGCCTAAGATTGCCAGGGCTGGGCTGGGGCTGGAAGGGCAACAAACAAACAAAAACCCTTCCTTCTCGCCTTATGAAAAGCCCATCCTGCCTTCATCTGTTCAGATCGTAAGATTTCTTGTCTTTAATTCTGAGAACAAAGCATGAAGACTGAACGTAAAACGTCCCCTGCAAAAAAGTGGGGTGAAGAGCAGGGAGGAGGCTAGCGGCTGGGCAAGGGGAAGCGCTCTGTGTATGAAGTCCGCCTCTTCGTGTGTATTCTGGAAGGCGGCGGATAGTAGTGAAGGCAGAGGTTAATGAGTTCCGGCTGTGTCAAGTGCCTTCCTTTCCATTAGTTCTGTTGATTCTCATGGCGCTAAGAACATCTCTTCGCCAACGCTCTGAATGCTTGAGACGCCAGCTGCGGATGAAGTCACTTGACAAGCCTCTTCACCTCTTCGGATGTGGCTCTTCTGAGAAGTCAGTGAATGAGTGATGAATTAAGTATCTGGAGGGACACTCTCGGCGGTGATGGGGTGCACTGACCCTCTCAAAGAGCAGCCACTCCTGGGGTTCCCGGGGTTCCCGGCGTGAATGCCAAGCCTTCACCAGCTAGATCCTAGGTCCACTTAAGAGCTCTGTGGTATGCCAGGGTCTGATAGTTGATCATTTTGACTAATTAGAAATCTGTAAACAGGCCTTGGAGTAGCCAGGGTCTGGGGACAGTCTTGAGAAGCATGCTGTGCCACAACTAGGTGTCTCCAGGCCTTACCACGTGGCGTGAGCAGCTTAGCTTAGTCCTTACCCCTCCCGAGAAATCTGTGTCACAGCACAGATTCCACTGATAACCGGCTTTTTCTTTGTAAATTTAAAGAGATTCGGGCTTCCTAGAGCAATGCTGCACAAATATGCAATCATATCGTCAAAGAAATCTCTCTACGATCTGCTGAAATGGTCGGATAGCTCCACCAAACGTGGCTGGCTTCAGAGAACTGGACATCCCCCGCTTCCCAGTCAGGCTTTGCTTTCCTGACCGGAGACCCCATCTGTTCAGGCTCTGAAGCGCCAATCAACTAACAATCGCCCCACCTATTTTTTTTATAGACTGCACAAAGAGTCCCTTAGTTTCCTTAGCAACTGTCTGAAATTTCTTCGGGTATCAGAATAAGCCGTTCCATTTTGGAGAGCCCAGCTGAGCCCGTGTGCAGCAATTTGTATGGTTCAGACCGATGAGCAATTTTTATTCCATTGCAAAGAGAAGGCATCCATAGCCCACAGAGTCGACTGTCAGAAATGTTTGTTTGTTCAGTGACTCCCCCTCCCCCATTGATGCAGACACAAGGTCTTGCAGTCTCGCTTCGGGAAGCTGCTACGTTTGGCTTCTGTCCCATGATGACCCTGAAATGGTTACAACCACTTTGAAAATACAAAAATACAAAATTATCCTTTGATGTTATTCTCCCAGACATGACAAACACAATACTGGGATTATTGTGTATTTAATTTATATAATTAAAAAGATATATTTCAAAAATATTTTTTAAATCCTCCAAACCTTAGGAGGACCCATGAGGGGAAACATTAATTGGTATATATCTCTAGGATCTTCGTGTCTGACGTGGAATGGTCCCAGACTAGGTGGACACCATGAGGGACAACAGCTGAACTGATGACCACTCAGGATGAGTGGCTCCCCCGCTGGGCTCTGAGAAGAGCCGTCATTACCCTTGTTCTACAGGCAAGAGAACCAAGGCCAGACGGATGAGGTAACTAGTGTAAGCTCATAGAACCAATGAAAGGTTGGTTTGAGCACCACATCTTGGAGTAGGTGGCTCCAGGGAACACTCAGCCCCTTTCAATCACTTGATACTGCTCCTCCCACCAGCACGGGGCAGAGATGCTAATCTCAACTCTGTAATGGATTCTTTTCCCTGATACCATCAGAAGGGACCAGAAATGTGCCCTCCTGGTACAGTTGACATTTTCATGATTGAGATAAAGTCTAAGGAAGCAGAGGTTTATCATCATGATTAAAAACAGAGGCCGAGTAGACTTGGTTTGGCTAGGGTGGGGTGGGGAAGAACCATGTTGTCTCCCATAGACTATAGGAAGCTTTCCCTCTGCTTTTCAGGCACACGTGTTGTTTCTCACCGTAATTGCTCTTGCTGCTGACTGTTTTCCAGTACTGCCCTGCGTCTGAGGGTTTATAAACAGGATTTCCATTTGCATCGGTAATGACAGATAATCCCTTTAAGCAAAAATCCTCCAATTAAAATAAGCCAATAAGGCAGTGCAATTTTAGGTTGCCGCTTATCTACACCTCCTGCTTCTCCGGAAAAACTAAAGAGAACCCAAACAGCCCACAGACTAATTTCATTAGGGTTGGAGATTTCAGATAGATTTAATTCCCGCTGAAGGAATGTCGGTAGGAGATCACGGTGGGAAGAAACTGCATTGTGTAACAGGAGACCCTGTGCCAACTCCATGATGGGTAGAGACACTTGAAGTGTGTTTCCACAGGCTTAATCTAAAGACAGTTGTCCCTTTAGGGGGGCTTCGTCTGTGGCACTGGACAGTATAAACTGGTATGAGCAGCTCAAGCCACCGGCAGGACCATGGACAGTGCCCCCTTGGTTCAAAAGATTCCTGTGATTAGTCTTTGAGGAATCTCACCTGTAGGGCTTGCAAGTTACACTGCACGCTATAAGGCACCTATGGCCCAGGGTTTTTTGAAGTGGGGGGGAGTGAAGCCTAGAACGCCTGGCTCAGGGGACATGCTTAAGCGTACATCATAGTGTCTCCTTACGTCACACAGACTACTCTACTGGTCCCATGCCTGCTAACTCCTTCCCTACCCTGCCACTGGGCAAAGTGGCAGACGTTATTCAGTGGTTTAGGTACTGCCTGGCCTTTCCTCTCTAAAGAGTGGGTAAGCATTTGGATTTGATTCTTTCAGAAGTCTCCTCTCCTCACATAGCTCCGTAGGTCAGCAGCTGACTTTGAACTTCAGGGTCGTCATTGCAGAGGTTGTGAAGAGGTACTTCGAGCAAACGCCAAGTTACCGTTTTAACTGAACAGATGGCTGGAAGCCAAATCTCTGAAAGGACACAGAGACCCACAAAAGGGATGACCCCAGGATCAAGTGAGGCAAGAGAACACCTGGTCTGAGCTGTTAAGGTAAGAGACACGGCAGCTGTGCCGACTGGGGAAGAGCACAGCAGCATTGCAGAGCACAGCAGAGGCAGAAGAAGGGAAGGCCAATGGACTGAAGGACAATCGGGCTGGCCTGTGAGTTTACACATCTTTGCAGTCATGGTAAGCCTGAGCCACTCCTGGCTGACCGTGAAGGAAGTTGTATCAAGGAGCTGTTATCAAGACCCTTGAGGAATTTAAAATATGGATTTGTGACCCCTCTCAAGAATGCCAAACCCAACGTGTCACCACCATTTCTGTTACGGATAGAAATATCTTTGTCTTAATGTAGAACAGAATTTCACATCCATATCATCTCTGAGGTCCTGTAACCGGGGTGGGGGGTGGTCAGGTGGGAAAACTCATGGAGGGAGGGAGAGACCTCGGGTCTCAGGCCTGAGTTTATATACTCAATGCTGACACTCTGTGGGTCAAGTCACTTCATGGGATCATCCGCTTTTATGCCTAGAATGGACATAGCTAATTATACCCACTTCTGTGGGTTTCTGTGAGATTTAAGTGTACAATGAAATGACCTTAGAAGTTTTGGTACAAACACAGCAAACAGTAATTATTGTTACTACTGCAGATGAGGAAGCTGGCCAGATGGACTAGTAACTTATTCCAGGTAACTGAAGGGGGCTGATGACCTGAAATGTTTTCATTGAAACACATGGCCCTGCCATGTCCCACACATGACCCTTGGTCCCGCAGGGTGACCCAGAAGTGCTCCCCTGACCCCACACAAAGATGGATAGCTGGCGATGCGAATGCCCCCAGTGCATCCTGGGAAGCATGGAATGGGATACAGCAGAGCACCATGGGTCCTTCTGAACCCCGCTCCGAGCTCACACCGACAGGGAACTGGGATGAAGACACGGGTAGACCACAGCCAGCATGGAGTGCAGAAGATGGAAGAAGCATGAGCCGTGAGTTAGGCACACAGTGGGCATGATGGAGGCCTTCTCCAGTCACAGGCAGACACAGAGGACTCACGACAAGGACAACGCAGCGACCCTACCTTCCGTGGCTCCTTTGCCTTTCCTGTCAGGGTTCTCTAAGCCAGTGCCCCCCGAGGGATACAGGGAGACGTCCGTTGGCACAGGCCAACTGCTGGCTGTGTCCTCCGTGATCTCATACATCTGCCCCTCCATCGGCTGCAGGTGCCAGTTTAGGCCAAACAGGTGCATGGCTGTGGTAAGCAATGAAAAGAGTCATCTTTTTCTGCTGGAGGCGGAAACGGAGCTCCCAAGCCATAAAGGAGAGGGGGTCTGGGGTGGGGAACACAGACCCTAGGCTCAGCTTAACATCAGCCCCTGGAGAGAGATTGCTTAGAGTGCCAGCCCCTGCAGGGGCACTTGGGACATGGTGATGATCCAGGTTTAGGGCTTGCCCTCAAGGGGCTCACAGTCTGGTGATGTTGGGAATGGATGAGGGGAGTCAGTTTACAGAGGTCTTGACCTTTTTCTTCAAAAGAGAAATGACAGTCTAGAGTGGAGAAGCGTAACTCGTACCACAGAGTTATTTCCTTAATAGAAAAATAACATCCACATACAAGCAAAGTGGAACTCTGCAGTAGAAAAACGGGCACAGAAGATGAACAGACAGGCGAGGGAATGGGACATGCCTTCGGCTCTTAATTGTGTGTAAAGGTTCCCGACGTTACTCACTGGGAAAGAGATCTAAGTTAAACTCTGAAATAGTATTTCTCACATATGCTTTGGCTAAGGTACAAAGGGCTGAGAAGACTATGTTGGCAGAGGGTGGGGAGCAAGCACCCACATACTTTGCTCGTGGTATGTGATAAAAGTCATGAAACTTAAAATACATTCACTTTTTACCCTGGGATTTCAAGGTCCCAACTGTAGAAAATTCTCTTCTGGATATACTCACACATTTAATAAATTATGTACGTACAAGGTTACTTGTTACAGCATAATTTTAACAGCAAAATTTCATAAACTGGTCCACTGATAAGAATCTGAGTAGGGTCTATCCGCACAACACAACAGCACAAATCGTCAATAGACCGAGGAAGTTTTTATGTGTTTTCTTTGTTTGTTTGTTTGTTTGTTTTTGAAGAAAAACCATAGCCTACAGAAGAATGTGTTGACACACTGCTTTTGGCTCTAAACTGTACAGAGTGTCCGGAAGAACGTGAAAGGCAGTCCTAACACCAGGTGCTCGCTGGGAGGAAAGAGGATGCTGCAGGGCATGATGGGAGGGCGATGCTCCACACATCTCCGTTTTGTACCCTAGGCATGTCTCCCTGCTTTAAGCAATATTTTTCCCAAGTAAGAGGCTACCAGATAGCCTGGTGCACCCATCTAGAAGAGGCTGCGGACAAGAGAAAACGAACACTGAACTATGCCATGCCTGAGAAGGCTGGGAAGACTATTCCCCCAAAGATTTGTAATCCAGTGTGTGACAGCTGTGTGAACGTCACCTTGGGAATCAAGACTTCGCTGTTGACACGGGCGTGGTGGGGCACACCTGGGACCCCAGCAGTGGGGAGGCAGAGGAGGCAGCCTGTGAGGGGAAGGTCTACAGAGATGGGAAGCCAGTCTGTTCCATCTGGTGAGCGCCTTTCACAAAAACAAAAAGCAAGGGCCATGAAAGTGACTCCACTGGTAAAAACACTTATTACGCAAGTCTGATGAACTCAGTTTGATCCCAGAAGCTGGCATTTGGAGTCTGCATAGTGGCAAAGACAACAAAAGAAATTGTTGTTTCTTCCAAGAGAAGTGGGAGGAGAGACCAACCCCCTAAAAATTGTCCTCTCTGAAGTCTGCTTGAATGTTGTGGCATGCATGTGCCCAGACTCACAGTATGCATGTGTGCACACTCACACATACGTGCACACACGCATACACATGCATGTGCCCATACTCACAGTATGCATGTGTGCACACTCACACATACGTGCACACACGCACACACATGCATGTGCCCATACTCACAGTATGCGTGTGTGCACACTCACACGTGCACACACGCACACACAACTGAAACTAAAAATCATCCCACAGAATGAAACAAGACTGAACCTTGCCAGCGGTGTGCACTCAGGAGCTCACTCTGGCTTTCACACCTGCAGCCGGCCTTGCCCTTCACGGGCCCTGCACCATGTTATAGGTCGTGCCCCTTCATCTCGTGGATAAAGCTATTTTTAAAGGTCCTCGGTGGCAGACTCAGGTAAGTCAGTATCGATTCAGACAGCCAAAGTCTACAGTCACACAGTGAAGACAGATGGATTAGGAAGTCCACTCAGAAGGTCAGGGTCCAGAGAAGGGGGTGACTGAGGAGGAGGACCACAGGAATGAGAGAGGATACACAGACAGAAGGTCCATGGACTTGTACTTATTACCCACTGTGTGTGTCTGGTAACTTGTATACACTATGTCTGATCCTCATGGCAACCCCACTAGACCTAGCTTAGAGAACATGAACAGATATTAGGTCTTAATACAAATTAATTTTTTTAAAAACCCAGAAAGTTAGTTGAAACCATGGTATTTGTAAGATAATGATTGAGAAGCTTTACTGTGTACCAGAGACTGTGTTAAAACTAGTCAATGTATATGTTAGCTTTTACGACAACCCCAAAATGCTAATCTTCATAGCCAGACGTTACAGACGACCAAGTGAGGGAAGGAAGCGACGGGCATGTGCAAGGTTGAAAGGGCAAGAAGAAGCAGAGTGTGGTCTAGAACCCACATCTGCCCAGACCTGAAAACTCCCACCTGAGTCTCTCTGCTATGGAGTCCAGGCTCCACCCACTTAGCCTCGTATCAGCTCTATTTCACAAGGTGGCCATTTGAAGACACCCCTTCCTGGACATCAGTCTCCTAGGCTGAGACACAGGACCCTTCCACGGGATGCTGGAAAACAGATCTACAACAGCCTTTAAGCCACAGAAACACTGTAGAGAATCTGGCTCACACAGCACATTCTGTGGTTCCAGGTCATGGTCAAATCATATAGCAGACAGGCACAGGCTTGATCTAGCCAGAAGGTTGCATTTTGGAGACAGCAGGGAGAATGACCCTTTGCTTTGGTTTCTGTGATATGGTACCAGAGCAAGGAAACTGGTTCTGAACACTAACAGTTGCTTCCTAGCCGCAGTAGTATTATCTGAGAAATGGGTTAAATACGTTCTGTCGTGGTTTTAGTACTGAAACAGTTGAGTACTGTGTCAGAAGGGCACTATATCAGAGGAGTGTACCATGCCAGCGGGCGCTATACAAAGTAGTAAGCCATGTCGGAGGAATACCATGTCAGAGGGGCACTGTGTCAGAGGAGTGTACCATGCCAATGGGTGCTATACAAAGTAGTATGCCATGTCGGAGGAATACCATGTCAGAGGGGCACTGTGTCAGAAGTGTACCCCGTGTCAGTGGGGTACTGTATAACTGGTGTGCCTCGTCAGAGGGGTTTCATGTCTGTGGTGTCGCATGTGAGGGAGACACCATATCAGAGGCGTAAGCCAATGCAGTACTATGTCCTAAGGGTCCCATGATGAGTGCACCGTATCATCAGTGGGATGCCACGTGGCAAGGTGCTTTGCCAAGTGTACGCAATCACCGTGTTTCCCTGGGCGTCAGATTTGTGCTGTTGGTGATAACAGTACTGGCGACAACAGCCGCTCCCGCTGACTGAGCGCCTTTTTCGCGGGGAGTCCTGCGCCAGGTGCTCCCTGCTTTCCGCTCTGAGTGATGGCGGCAATAAGGCGACTATTAGCGTGCCCGCGAGGGAGGAAACTGCCACCCTGGGCTGCACTAGCTCATGCTTCTACTGGCCTTCCTACCGCTTTAATCTATATATTGGCAACTCCAAAGGTAATGGAGAACTTCCCTGAACTGCACACAGCTCGGATGAACACCATTAAGTGAGCAGAGCTTCTTCCCCTGTTTGAGTCAATTATCGTATTGGAGAGTGCCAAGCGCTGTCTTGTTAAAAGGTCATGAGAATTAACTAATTCCAGAGTGAGGAGGATGCTCCCGGCTCTGTGAAGAGAAACATTTTTATTGTCAGGGCTTTCTCTTAATTTTAGGAGGATACAAATGCAAGACTTTCCTTTTTTTTAAAAAAAAGGCAGGGTTCGGGTAGATGGGAGGCAGGGTTCAGAGAAGAATCTGATTCCCAAGTCCAGGGTCCCTGGGAGAGCTAAGAGGGTAAGGCAGGGCACAGTGGGAAGGGAGCCGCACATGGGGTGGAGGGTGCTGACACTGTCTCCTCTCTTCTGCCTCCGTCGTAGTAACAGAGGCCCACGCAGCTGGGAGGGTGACAGACAGTCCCTGTGACCTGGGGAAGAGGCCCCCAGGAAAGCAAAGCTCCATCCGAAACCACGTGTGACTGATTCCCCAGAGATTGGGCCACCCTGAAACGTCAGGGTGGATATGGAGGACAGTGGCAGGGAAAGGACCCGGGTCATAAAGATGCGTCGGACACTTAACGACTGGCTCCACCAGGCAGAAGGTACCCACTGGTGTAAGAGTAACAAGTCTGCTACAGGGGGTCACCAACCACTTTCTGATTGGGATTCAGGCCCCGTAGACAGGAGGGAGTTCACACTGGGCACTATAAACCTCGTAAGAAGCCCAGGGCTAGGAGGACAGAGCCCTTAGTTGGGAAGTACCTCTTTTATTCTGCTAGACACGATGTGCCCGTCAGATTGCCTTCTGAATAGTTGCGTCTATCCCCATTAGTGCAGGGACACCTCCTTAAACAGTCCAGAGTAACAACCACAGAGACTCATAACTGGTCAGAGTGCTGAGAATAAGCATTGAAAATGCCCGGCCACACCTGAGACATCTTTATCGCCCTCTCCAAGGGTCCGAAGACAAAAGCACAAGAGCAGAAGGATGGGGTGGAATATTGTAGAATGCTACCTTCTGGTCACATGACCTTTGTACTCTTCAGCTACAGCTGCTAGATTACCTGAACAAGATGGAGCCTATCAACATCCAGTCATGCAACGGGGCGGGGGAGGGGAGGCTGAGGATCCACCCACCCAGGAAGATCTAGAGGCCACTAATGGCTACAGGTGGAGAGAGACATTTTCTGTTGTGGTGAGCCACTGGTGAGGCATTCACGCTTCTGGGAGTCACCTCTCTCTCAGATATAGGCAAACCTAATGAAACTGTTTGGGTCACAAATTACAAAGAAAGGACATGAAGTCAAAGGGGAAAC